CCCCCCCCCCCCCCCCCCCCCCCCCCCCCCCCCTTATTTCTCCTCCCCAACACGGATGGAGCCTTCGTGTGTTTTGTCGCATTGGAAGGTTAAAGTTTCCTGTGTTGGTGCTGTGCGTGTGTAGACTACATCTCGCTTGTCGGCGAAGTTGCTTGCTAAATACGCGTTCAGGGTAAGGATGTGTGCCACCGGCGTTCCTTCATGGTAGGGAGCATGTGCGAGAGAGGGGGGGGAGGGGCAGGGATTGTCGTTGGCCTTGTTTTGGCCTTGTTTTGGCCCCCAGTTTCCTGCGGGGGGATGAATAAGCGTGTTACTCGTGAATCCTGGTGGGAGCCTCGAAACGGAGCCAGTGCTGCATGAGGGAGAGGCGGGCGGTGGATTTGTCGGCAGCGGTGGGTCTGGTTAGCGGCGTCTTCTCCGTTTATTTCGTGGGGGTCGTTCGCCAATCGAGCAGCCGTCGGTCCCATTCTCTTGTGAAGGTTGTCGCTCGTGTGGCGTGCGGGCGACAGGAAGAAGAGCGGTCCGATGTTTCTGCTGTAGCGTATGCATCTAGTGTAGCCTTGTTCAAGTTACCCGCATTGCTTGCTGGTATCCGCACAAGCGGTGTTTTTGGCACCACTTGGTGTTTTTGGCACTTTTTAGTTGTGCGACATGCACGTGCGAGTGAGGCAGGCTATTGCTGTAACCAGTAAAACAATCGACATGTTAACCAGCTTTTCTATACGGCTGGCTACGCCCCCCAACCAAGCCTATCTGCTGCTGCAGCTGTCGTTCCCGCTTTCAGAGCACTCACCGTGGTTTCTTCGAGAAAAGCGTCCTCAATAAAGCGGGCAAGTCCATTGAACTATCGCCCCGATGGTATTCATTCTGCGGGGCACCGTGCTTCTGAATGAAAACAATGGTAGCGTTTTTCAGCGGGGACGGCAGTGGTTTCTCTCGGAGGACCTTGTTGCTGTGGACGTCTGGCAAAAACTGGCAGCGGTACGCGGCAAGTCTTCAACAGCACCCGAGGAGGAAAAAAATGACGCACACGCTACTGTTGATGGTACCATCTGTTCATGTAACGGTGCGTCCGTAAGCAACATACATGGCTCCCGTAGAGCACCTTGGCCGCGCTTCCTTAGTAATTGCTCAATCGTAGGGGTCTGCAATGCCCTGCCTCTTCCAAAGCCTATTTCACGTATGTAGACTATGTGCTTCCTCTCGCCAATCAACATTTATTTGGCGTTTGATTGGCGTTCCACCAGGGACTCGCTCCGCGAGCTCCATTGTATTTCAATCGAAGAACCGAAAGCTAGGTAGAGGCAACGAAAGCGCTTCGCACGCGCGCTGCTGAGCGGCCATCCCCCGACTGAAAGCGATTGCTCGTGACTTCGGTCACCACGCCGTAGCTTGCCCCACCTCTCAAAAAGCCGCATGCATGCGCTTGTGTGTTGGTCCCTTCTTTCATGCGAGCTTGGTTAGGTTTTCGGTTTAATAAATCACCACGTTTCAACGCTCGAAAAAAAGTGTAGTCTAGAAGGCCAAAGTAAACGGGCGACACCATTCGAGGGTTTCACATCCGCGCCTCACTGCCTTCTCACTCCATTTGTCGAAACATTCCACGCACAAAAGAGGCTGCGGCAGCGGCAGAAGCAGCCGAGACGTGGTAGCAGTACACGGCAAGACGATTTTCTCGCGTGGCAGCACAGAGTGTTTGTTCTGCTCTTGGCATCATTTCTGGACTCCACGCGCCGATACCACGCTACAAAATCCGTGAGATCATTCCAGACAACAAGAAAACATGTTTGTTTCACTCAATGCATACTGACGACCCTCGTCGCTGCTTGTAACGTCTCCATCACGTGCCACAATAACACGGTAAAGTCGCGCGCTACTCTCACAAAGATGGCGCAGAGGCAGCAGCAGCAGCAGCAGCAGCAGCAGCAGCAGCAGCATCAATGAGTTTGTTGTTCGAGCACTGTGTTTCCACCGCGAGAATGATGATGACAGCGCACCTCCACCATGTATGTAGTTCCCACGAAATCGTCGCGAATCGCCCCTCCCCCCCCCCCCCCCC